TATTCTTTACTGAAAGTAGTACTTGATTCTCTATTAAGAACTTCATTGAAAGATGTTTTCAATTATAGTATTCTATCTATCACTTCTAAGTGTGATAAATGCTTTTCACTATCTTCTTATGAATTTTATTTAAAAGTTTCAATCTCACTTTTACTTCTGATACTGAGAGATACTCTATTCTCTGTATCTATTTAATATTCTGACTGTATATTTCTCTCTTTAAAATATTATTCATAACATCACTGAGTAATGAAGAATTGTATTTATAATAAGTATAGAAAGAAGATACTTTTAAGATTGCATTTTTTATATTATTATATATGAATTCAGCAGTTAGAGAATGTTTGAGTCAATTATTCTGATAATATGAATAGAATACTTAAAGATGCTGTTCTAGTGTCTGATTCTGACATTCAGTCTGATTATCTGTCTGTGAATGAAATATAATACTGAGAAGATATTTTATTATAAGATAATAGTAAAAAGCTGATCAGTATTTACTGATGAAGAGGAATTCTTAATCTGTTATTAATGATTTCAGAGCACTATAATTATAAATGATAGTATTTAAAAACAGATCAGTCAATTCAGAGGCTTTAATCTTTTTATGAATAGAAATATATCTAGTCATCTTTATAAAGTAGTTAATAATAATTAAAATTGAGTCATATTCTTTGACTCTTATTGACTTCAGCAGGTCAACTATGAAATTCATTGATAGATTCTATTATAAGCTCTTTGAAACAGGCAGTAATATTAACTCACTGTATTACTTATACTGTGAAATCTTTATTCTTTAATAGATATTATAAGTCTTAATATACTCTTTGACATCTACTCAGAGCTTGTTTTAAATATATTTATATTTTAGAAGCTTCTCAGTCTTCTCTAATCTAAAGTGCTCTGTATAAAAATCATTATAATGAATTCTCAATAACTTCTAACACACTGCTCTACTATAAGAGATGAAGACTGAATTATTTAGCAGTAGAAGTTCACATTCTTCTAGTTATCAGTAACTTGATTTCTTAGCAGTATCATCTTACTTAGAGTCTGTCTCTTTCAAGTTTAAACTGAATTCTTTCTTCTTCAACTTCTGAATTTAAGCTGCAGTAGAGATGTTTCTCTTCTATAACTTATTAATGAATTTTAAAAGTAGTCAGATTGAAAGATTGTAGATCATTTTATTCTTTATCAATTCAATAATAGTAAGACATGATACAAGAAGCTCATAATCTTCAGTGTCAGTTCTCTGCAGAGATCTGAGTTTTCTTTCATCTTTTATACTGAGTTACACAGCTGTCTTACTGACACTGTTTCTGAGCTTCAGAGAATTTTAATCCTCTGCAGTTAGCTTCTTCTACAGTGATAACAGAGATTCTTTTATAGAATTCTTCTCTGTATCAATGATATTATAATCAGACTGCTTAGACAGTGTATCAGTGAGATTAAGCTGATCTGAACAGTATCAGATATAGAAATTATACTCTGAAAGCAGCTTTGCTTATCTGACTTGACATTCTGTCAAGCTCTTTATTATCAAGAAGTAACACAGATTTGTATAATCAGTGAGAACTTACACTGAGTACTTACTACTCTGAAGATAATATCATCAGATCTTAAAGAATTTGACAATTGTTAATATCTTCTGATTATAAGTATTATATCTTCTCTGCATGAGTAATAACTTCTTGAAGAAGAAGATCACTGATCTTTATTCACAATATCTTATAGACTCTGTAAAAAAGTCTTCTCTCATAGATAATTCATTATCTATTTTCTCAGAGATGATTATTCTCTAATTCTTTCAATATTGAAAGGCCTTCAGTGTCAACTGTGAAAAGATTTCATAGATCTCATTTTCAGATATATCAGTCTCATACTGATGAGTAAGTCAGAATTAAAGTGATTCAGTATTATAATATCTATAAAAGCTTATTTCAATTCTATAAATATCTGTACAGTGTCTTGAGTGAGAATAAACAGTTTCATTTTTCTATCTTTCATACTTCTCTTTAACAGATCTGTAAGAGAGATAGTAATCTGTGAATATATATAGATGAATTATCTGTAGAAATTCATAAATTCTAGAAACATCTATATCTCATGATATATCTGCAGTGTCAGTCAGTTCTCAATGACAGAGACCTGACTTCTATTCATTGAAATACTGTTTATCTTAATAATATAATCTAAGAAATCAATCTTCTGCATGTAGAATGAGCATTTTTCAGTATTTATATAGAGTTAATACTATCTCAAGTGACTTAATACTTCTTGAACATGAGTATCATATTCTTTCTCTGATTTTGAGAAGATTAGAATGTTGTTCAGATATACTATACAGAAGATATTAACAAGATCTCACAGTATCTCATTTATATAGATCTGAAAGATGACTGAAGTATTACAAAGATTAAAAGATAAAACAAGATATTTAAAATTACTGTACTTAATATGAAAAGTCATTTTTTAAATATTATCTTTATTAACTCTGATTCTATAATAGACATTTTATATATCAATCTTTGAGAAAATTTTTACTTCAGATAATTGATTGATCATCTTATTAATTAATAGTAATGAATAGTGATTCTTAATCATCACTTTATTAAGACCTCTGTAGTCTATGTATAGATGTAGTCTATTATTCTTCTTAAGTATAAAGAGTATAGATATCTCTGCTGAACTCTTTAATAAATATATTCAGTTCTTTAATTACACTTCTTCAAGATATTTACACAGAACATTCAATTTCTTTACAGATAAGTTATAAAGAGATCTGTACAGTATTATTACACTGTTTTCAAGATAAATCTTATATTATATCTTGATATCAGAAAACTTCACTACATCTCTTTCTAAAAAGACATTTTTATATTCTATAAAGAGATGTTATATACATCTGTCTTTAATAACAGATACTGCTGCTAATCTTACAGTGAGAGTGATGACTTCTTCATCTGTTCTCAAGTCTTAATCATCTGTTACATAGTATATTGACTCTATTTTTTTCTCAAGATTCTTCTGATAAAACTCTTCAGATTTCTCTATTACTATCTCTTCATTAGTGAGATAATACTGTTACATCTGAGTGACTCAGTTAATGAGAGAATTATTTTCTCTCAATTATAGAAGATTTAGAATAATGTTCTTATCTATAATATTAACTATATGAAGAAGCAGACTGCTCTTCTTAAAGATTTCTTCTAAGTCTGTAATTACATACTTCACTTAAATTATGTTAAAATAATGATATTTCATTTCATCAGTAAATTTTATATAATCTGACAGATCTATCTTCTTTCAATTCTTCATTAAAAAAAAGAAATAGAATATAAAGTTAGTATTTACTCTGAAGTTAAGTAGACATCTTACTAATATTTTCTTATTCAGAGTATATATTATAATTATAATATAAACTCAGAGATATAAGAATTATTAATTCTTCATTTCTTTCTCTTCTTTATCTTTTACAGATATATTTATCAGAAGAGAAGTTAACTTTAAGAAGATATCTTCTCAGTTTCTTTTCTTCTTTAACTTTTTATAATTACTAATATAGTAATTATCAGCTCTGCAGTTGAAACAGAGATTTTTATTAAATCTTTTTTAATATTTCTTTATAGTGAGTGAAGAATTAGAATACTTGAAATTCTTCTTTACTTTCTTCATACTGAAGTTATTACAGTGTCATTTAGATTTCATTATTAATTACTTAGAAAAAGTCTTATTAATCTTTTTCTTAAAGAATTAATTATTTAAATAAATCTAAGAAGTTAGATTAATAAGCTTAGTATAATTAATTAATAGACTCTGATATTATAATATTATTATCTGCATCTTATAAGTCAGCTTTATAAAATAAAGCTATATTTTTAATTAATTTAAATTATCAGTTAATTTCTCTCAATATTCTTCAAATTTTGTATTAAAATTAAAAGAATTCTTATTATCTTATTAATATAATAAGTTAAACTGCTATACTGCTGTAAAGCTGTGATTATAATAATCTTTAATTTTATTCAGTAGAAAGTTCTTAAATTCTTCTTAAGTTATAATAGTACTAATATACTCAAGTTCTCTCTTTTTAATAACTTAAGTAGTTACAGAGATGTCTTTAAGAAGGTTAACAGTGTATATTACTTATATCTTATAAGTATTATACTGACTCAGATTAAGATGAAATTTTCATTTAAAAGTACAGATAAAGCTGTGAAATTCAGATAAGATGTTTTTCTTATATCTCAGAGAATCTCTGATCTTAATCTCTCTATCTTTATAATAGATATAGATGTGTAGAGACTGCAGCAGTGATAGAGTAATTAAAAAGCTTATATTAAAATATATAGTGAATTCAGAAATCTCAGATTTCTGTTAAAGTAGAGATGTACACACTCTAGAGAATAATATAAAGTTTCTCTCAGAGAATGAGATTAAATCAGTTTCAGTATAGATGTATAAGATTATATCAGTCTATTAGAGCTTAACTGATTTAAACTTATAATCAGATTAAGTGATTTAAATTATAATATAATAGAACTGAAGCAGTGACTAGTTAGTAGTATTATATAAAGATAGTTATTTAAGAAGCTGTATAAATAAGCTTAACTATCTTACTTAAATAGTAAGCTTGTAGACTACAGAGTTATTATAAGAATATTATAGATATAATACTTAGTATATTAAGAAGATTGTATAAGATATACAGTAACTCTTATATATATTTCAGTCAGAGAAAAACAAATCACTGACTTCTTTAATAAGAAGTCAGCATCTAGCTATTCTATATAGATAATGAGTGAATACTCTTCTTTCATTTCATGAGTGAGAATAGCTGAAGTGATACCTCAGCAGCATCTTATTATCAAGAAAGAGTAATCTGCTGATCTTATATAGAAGCAGAGTTCTTATATTTATCAATCAGATCTTTCTATGATATATCTGAATGATGTCATAGAGTGATTGGAAACCGGTTCAGACGGGATGGAATCATCCGCATGGAAGCGATGGGCCGTGTGGAACCGCAACGGGGCCTTGGCGCGGCCGGGAGCGTGACAACATCAAAGATGAACAGGGTTTTCGCGGAGGTTGCTCCTCAGATATCTCCACAATCACAGATCAGAGATCTTCCAAAATCGAGAAGATTGGCACATATGACTAGGTCTCTTCACCTTACAATTTGTATGGCAATCTGGCCCGGGGTTGTGGTATGGTAGGGGAGAATGAGGGATACTCCCACACAGGAGTTTCAAACAACATCTGATTCGCGTTTGGCTGGATAACTTCACCACCACACGGGGTATGCGGTCAGCGATGGGGTCAAAATGCTTGTATGATCAAGGGCTTTTCGATGGATCTATTGGCAGGTTCTTATTCGAAAAATCGAGCGAGTTCGTGGTGAAGCGGTTGAGTGTTGAAGAAACTGAATTTGACATGAAAGAAAGTGATCAATATTGCAATCAAATATCACTTGATGTATAGAACCTACTAATTCATTAGTTCTATAATATAGGTTGAACCCATAGCCACTCAACACAATGAAGAACTTCAAGCTGAATAATGTATTCAACTCACTCAGTATCTTTCTGATTAACTGATCTTTTTGAATGAGAGTGCTGTAAATAAATGTACAGCAGATCAACAATATGAATAATCAAGCAGAGAATTCTCTTATCATGTTAGAAGGCTCTGTAAATAATCTCAAAGATAATTAATCTTATCTGTGATAACTGTCAATGAATATATTAATTATGATATATATCAGAGGTTCTACAATGTAGAGAGGTTTAATAAGTTTGTATATATCTGAATACTACTCAAATATCAACAGAGTTATCACTACTTAGTGATGAATAATTGCAATACTTATCAATCTCAAGAATTGAAGAATCTTTGCAGAGATACAGATATTAAACTATTATTCTTATTATTATATTTATCTGACTATAATTCTATAGAGAAGTCTTTTCACATGTTGAAGAAATAAATTAGAAGATATAGAGATCAGTTAGATACTCAGTTTAATGAAGATTTTAAAGCTTTTTTACATTATGCAGTTGAGAACTTTATGAGAGAAAAAGATGTAAAAGAATATTTCAGATCTGCTTATATAGAATAGTATTATAATAATCAGAAAAATTCAGATTGCAATTCATTCAACTATAATACAGATTTAGAGGTTGAAGCAGTATGAGATCTGCTCTCATCACTATAAGCAGTTGATAGAGATGATTTGAATTGTGGTTCGGAAGAACGTACAACCGTCGGATAATAACGCGGCCGCTTCCGAACTACTAGCGTACGCGTATGAGTGTAAAGGGGCCATAGCGGCTGCTAATTAATTTAGTGTATAATATTACAATATATAAGAAGCCGGTGTACATCTGTAATTGTATGCTGGCTTAAGCACCTTTGAATCACATCTGATAGCATGTCTAAAAATCAGTGAGAAGTGCAGGCTTCTCCAGGGCATGATAATTTCATCTACAAAGTGATTCATAGTTATCATGTCAGTGTGGTTCTAGAATGCCTCAAAAGATAGCATATAAAGAGCAGTGAGTGAAAGAGCATTCAATTAATACTACTTCACTTATTAAGGGAAAACTTCACATTCAGATGAATGCCATGTATGTGAACAGATGAGATGTGAGAAAAGAGATGAGAGTAATAAATCAGATTCAAAGAAGACTGCTCTTCACTCAAAGAGATAAAAGAAGAGAGTGATCATCACTGAAGTTGTACAATGATAACAGAAATTATATAACAATATAGTGATAGAATAATATAGTAATATAATGATACAGTGATATAGTGATATAATAATACAGTGATATAATAATAGACATTGTATAATCAATGAGAAATTACTGAAATGAATATCTTTTCTAGCTGATATAAATAACACTCTTCTCTGCTATCTGAACTGAAAGATATGCAGAATCTCTCAGAGGATTTACTCAAAGCAGTAAGAAAAGCAGCTGAAATCACTGAATCAGAATTGAAGCTCTGTACATGTACAAGAATTCTAAATGAGATTGAGATCTTGTGTACACAGTGACAGGCTGAGACAGAAGCTAAACAACAATTAGCATTCACTGCAGATCAAGTATTCACTATGAAGAGCTTCACTGATGCAATTGTCATCATTAATAAAAATAGAGAAAATCAGATCTTAGGCCTGCAGCAGAAGATTGAACATTTATACAGATAGATAACTATATTAAATCTGAAGATCTTACTATGATTGTTCATGATCTCTTCAGAAGCATATATATCATCAGAGATCACTGCATAGAATGAGAATTCAAGCATGAGATATATCAAGCTGAGAGATCTACTGAAGTTATCAAGCTTCAATAACAACTGAAAAAATAATGCTGCAATCAGCTGACTAAGTCAGATATGATCATATTATCAGATTGAATATGAACTCACAGATAGACAGTCAACAGAATTTCAACAAGTTTTAAGATCTGCTACATTTCTACATGAAAAAGTGAAGTTATTATGAATAACTGATGAAAAGATGAATCTCATAGATCTGAAGTGATATTCATTTCTACAAATATAGAATGAGTTTTTCAAATGAATCTTGCACAACTTTGAGAAAGTGAACATGTAAGATAAGTGTTATAAACACTTCACTGAGTGTAGATAAGTAAGTGATCTTATATTATACTTCATACACTTCAGCTTATACTATCTTGTATTGAATGAAGAGCTTTTAACATCTTTCTATTTACAGATCTTCATTCATGATCTTACACCTGAGTTGAGAGTGAAATGAAAATACTTAATCTCACAATCAGATATGATAGAAAAAGCATATAACATTCTCATTGTATGAGAATAAGCAAGTCAATTGTAACAGAAAATACTGCAATTGAGTATGTCTTAGCAGAGAACAGATAATCAGACTTCTATGATATAAGTCACATATCTGAATGTGATGAATCTAGATCTGAATGCTATTACTAAAGTATTAAATCCTCTGAAAAAGAGATTCTCTGAGTGAAAATCTTGATATCACAAGCATTGAGCTTGCTTCAACTGCAGATGCTAAAATCATGATATAAAAGATTACACTCAGCATACACAGTCAAGAGAAGCAAGAGAGTTAAAAAACTAGCAGAATCAGTGAGCTCAGAGACACTCACTGATATTCTATGAAAAGCCTTCAAAGTGAAAGAGATGCTCATGTTAGATAATTCTTTAAATTCTGTAAATGCAAAGAAGAAGCAGGCTTCTGAATGAGATACAGATGAGAATGAAGTAAACACTCATCTCAATATCTTAAGGCCTGAAATGTTAATGTATAGAGGATACTTGAGTAAGAATTGAGAGATGGCTGTAAAAGTGTTAGCAGATATAGAAGCTTCTATACAATATATTGATGATTATATAATCTGAAGATTGAAAGAGGTCTGCTGAGTGAAGAATCTCTGACATATAAGATTATCTGATAATTAATATTTGATATTATCTGCAAGAGTAAGAGTTTTCTTGCACTTCAGAGAATGATCTTGCTATATTTAAGCATGAGAGCTGCAGAATGTGAAATACAACCTTATTCTTAAACTTGATTGATTTCAAAGGTTCAATCTGCAGATTCAATGATGTACATGCTATATACAGTTGACTGATAGAAAGAAAATGATTCATACAATTCTATTAACTGATATGAGAAGGACATTTCATGTCTCTGATATAGAAGAATTAAATCTGCTTACACATTAACAAGTAAAGAGAACAATTTATAAGACCTCATCTGAAAGCATTCTGTATGTCATACAGAATCTGAAAGTGAAGAAAATCAAGATAAAAGATATACAGAAGAACAAGTGTATAAAGAAGCTTCTGAAGAAGTATGAAAAGATCTTCTGAATAGATCTTTCATCAGAATTGCTGCTGAAATGAGAATTCATACATGAGATTGATATAAGAGATGCAAAACCTGTCAATCAGAATGTGTACTCTCTGTCATAAATGCATCTTGAAGAACAGAAGTGTCAGATCACAGACCTTCTAGAATATAATCTTATATAATTCTTATCAAGCATGTGAGGCTTTCCAGTTCTATTTGTGAAAAAGATGAGTGAGAAGTGATAAATATGTATTAATTACTGAGTACTCAACAAGCTTATGATCAAGAATGAATATTCACTGTCACAGATTCAACAACAGTTGAATACAGTTGAAAACATCTGATATCTATTGAAGATTAATCTTCTCTCAGAATACTGACAGATCTGTGTAGATGAACTGTCAGTTCTGCAAACTATGTTTAATACATAATGAGAGAAGTTTGAATTCCTGACAATGTCATTCAGTCTGACAAATATGCTCATTATCTTTCAAATGATGATGAATACAATTCTTCATAAACAGAATGAAACCTTATATCTCATATATCTCAATGACATTCTAGTCTTTTCAAACTCATATAATGAATATCTGAAGTATCTTGATAAAGTGCTTACAACTCTGACAGAGTATAAGCTCTACATCAAATCAATCAAGTGTGTGTTTGAAACAGAAGAGTTGAAGTTCATAGAACATGTAGTGAGTGATGACTGTATACACCTCATCTCAGAGAAATTGAATGTTATAGCAAATTGACTGTGACTGAGAAATATACACTATATACAATAGTTTCTTGAGTTGGTCTTATATTACTCTAGATTTATCAAGGATTTCATATGAATATCTGTATCACTCTCAGATCTCTTAAGAGAAATAGATACAAATCTGTGAAAGAAGAAGTTTTGTTCAATTATCTGAAATACTGTATGTGAAGAGGCTTTTCTCACACTGAGAAAATGTATAATAACATTCTCAGTACTTATTCAATCAGATTGTGATAAACCTTTCTACATCAAGACAGATGCATCTAAATGAGCTATTAGAGACACTCTTCTACAGATGAGTAAGAATGACAAGCTGCATCTGATAATGTATAATGGTAAAAAACTATCAGACACTGAGCTCAATTACTCAGTATATGAAAAGAAATTACTAGTGATTAAGCACACACTGGCATTGTGAGATAGATATATTGACAACAGGCATATAACAATGATGATCACAGATCATGAAAGCCTCATCTATCTACAATCAATGATAAAACCTTTCAAACACTTAGCATGTTGAATCTTGAAGTTTCAAGTGTATAATCTTCATATCAAATACTGAAAGGAATTGAACATTGTAATATCTGATGCAATCAGTTACAGACCTGATTTCATGAGTGAGAGTTCTGTGAACCAGGTACAAGAGATGTTTGTGTTAAACACACTGAGAGAATGCAAGGAATCAGAATGAGTGAACATCATGATCTCTCACTTGAAGAATGATAAGATGTCAGATGACAAGTATCTTATGAAAGTAGTAGAAGAGATACTTTTGAACTTCAAGCTGAGAAAATTGAAAAATGATATTATGCTTTACTATGATCTAGAATATGCAGAAGCTCTCTATCTAGAATCTTCATTTTAATGTGACTTGATAACTCACATGCACAAGGAATTCAGTCACTTGAAAAGCCCTGAACTCATGAGTGTA